CCTCCGGCCGCTTCCTCCTCCGCATACCCCTCTGCCCCCGCACTCGCCTCTACACTCTCCGCACTCCGTGGCCATCCTCCTGTCATGTCACCACTCGTGCGGGTACCTCCACTAGCCCTCCTCTTTTCCCTCCCTCCCCCCCCACTCCACCATCCCCCCACTCCTTCATCCCGCCCTCCCTTGTTCCAATCCCCTCCACCTCCGACCATCTCTCCCACCCCGCTGTTCTCCTACATCACCGACTCGGCCATCCCAATTTCGCCGCTCTCCGTACTGCTGTCACCTCACGACTCCTTCACAGCCTCCCTCCCACCCTTCCTCCCCTTCCCTCCTCCCCAGCCCTCCCATGCCCCTCCTGCATCCACGGCAAACTCAAACAATCTCCTCACCACAGCCACCCATCCTTTGCTCCTGCACCAATTGACCTTGTCCATATGGACCTTTGGGGGCCCTCTCCCACCCGCTCCCGCCAAGGCCATCGCTACATGCTGGTTCTGGTTGACGATCACAGCCGCTACTCCTCCGTTTTCCTCCTCCACACGAAAGCCCAGGCGCCGACCATGATCATTCACTGGGCAGAACAATGCCGCACCCACTTCAAACGTCCCATCGGCCGCCTCCACTCTGATGGGGGAGGCGAATTCCTCAATCGCGCACTCACTCACTACTGCACCACTCATGGCATCCAACAGACCCACACTCTTCCCCACTCCCCACAGCAGAACGGCGTCGCAGAGAGCCGCATTCGCGAAATCACTAAGATCGCCCGCTGTCTCCTCGCTCACGCCTCCACCCCTCCTTCTCTTTGGGGCTATGCACTCCTTCATGCTACCCTCCTCCTCAACCTTCGCTCCCATCCCTGCCACACCGCCACTACCCCCACGGAGCTCTGGTCAGGGACCAAACCTGACGCTGCCGGACTTCGTGTCTCGGGTTGCAAGGCATATGTGCTCATCCCTCCACCTGAACGCACCCACGGCAAGCTCGCTTCTCGTGCCCTCGAGTGTGTCTACCTCGGCCACAACCGCGACTCGCCCGGTTACCTTTTCCTTCACCCTCCCTCCGGTCGCCTCATCCGCAGCATTGACGTTGTGTTTGATGAGACCACCCCATATTATTCCTCCCCACCACCAGACCCCCTCCCTCCTCCCACCCGTCCTCTCGCTTGGACCGACACCGTCCTCCCTCCCTCCTCCCTCCAGCACCCCTTCTCCCACCCCTCCCCACTCCGCTTCCGCCACCCTCATCTGCCGATATCTATGATCCCACTGCTCCAGCATCCCCTGCACACTCTGCGGCTCCCTCTCCCTCCTCTCCTTCCTACTCTCCTTCTCATCCATCCCAACAGCCGCAGCAGCAGCCACAGAGACAGCAGCAGCAGCAGCAGCAGCCGCAGCAGCAGCCGCAGGGGCAGCAGCAGCAGCCACAGCAGCAGCAGCAGCAGCAGCCGCAGCAGCAGCCGCAGGGGCAGCAGCAGCAGCCACAGCAGCAGCAGCAGCAGGGGCAGCCGCAGCAGCAGCCGCAGGGGCAGCAGCAGCAGCCACAGCAGCAGCAGCAGCAGGGGCAGCCGCAGCAGCAGCCGCACCAGCAGCAGCAGGGGCAGCAGCAGTGGCCGCCGCAACAACCACAGGGGCAGCCGCAGCAGCAGCAACAACAGCCGCAGCAGCGGCCGCAGCAGCAACAGGGGGTCCAGCAGCAGCAGCAGCAGCAGCAGCAGCGGCGGAGGGCGTCTGCCCGCTCCTCACCCTTCCTCCTCCCTCGCATGCACACCCGCTCTCTTGATCCCATCCTTGGCACACCGCCACCTTCCTCCCTCCACCAGCTCGAGGATTCCCATGAGGAGTTCGCCATGGTCCGGCGCAACACTCCCTCTATCTTCACACTTTACCCTGACCTCTTCGGCGCTCTGATCCTTAGCGCGATCTCCGCTCCCACCATCTTCGTCCCCACCACCTTCCAGGAGGCTATCACCTGCCCTGACGCTGACAAGTGGTTAGCCGCTATCTTCCTGGAGTGTGAGGCTTTCATTCGCAACGACTCCTTTATCGACGTTCCCCTTCCCCCTGACGCCAACCTTGTCGAGGGCAAGTGGATCTTTCGAGTCAAACAGCTGCCGGGAGAGGAGCCAGTCTACAAAGCCCGCTATGTTGCCAAGGGGTTCACCCAGACCTGGGCTGAGGACTACTGGTTCACATTTGCCCCCACCCTCAGGCAAGCCACCCTACGCACCCTTATGGACATCGGTGCGCGTGACGACATGGAGATTGACTCCATGGACGTCTCCAACGTAGGCATGGGCATTTGACCCGGACGGGTCGGGTAACCCGACCCGACCCGGCCAAAAGGCCGGGTCGGGTCAGGTGTTCTGAGTATCCCGACCCGGACGGGTCGGGTCGGGCCTACCCGTACGGGTCGGGTCGACCCGTGACCCGTCAGGGTATCCTTTTCACGGGTACCCTTGACCCGTCGGGTCGGGTCGACCCGTGACTCGAAATCGGGTTAAGATACAGAAAGTGTAGGATAGACTGCAATTGCGTTGTGCGAATGGCTCTGCATCGGGCTGTCAAACAAGAGGCATGATAGGTATAGTGTAGGAGGAGGCGTAGGAGAGATCGTGGATAGGGAAACCTAGGTCAAACTTGAAATTCGTACCCCACAGTCGCCAAATTCCTGCACAATGTTGTCTCCAACAAATTTCCCCTCCCATCACCTATCTTCACCGCATTGCATCTAGATCATCCAACCAATTTGAGATTTGAACGCTTGACAGTCGTCACTTTCAGATCTACAACGAAGATGATCGAGGGAGTCTCCCCCCTCCCCTTCTGCGGGAAATACCTTTGCTCCGCGCTTTCGAGCTTATCTTGTGGGAGGGGGAGGGGGGGATTTTTGACACGTGCGGATCTGTGAGGAATTTCGCGGATCTGCGCAGATCTGCGGCGAAATCGCCGATTTGCGAAGATCTACGGCGAAATCGCCGATTTGCGCAAATCTGCGGCGAAATCGCCGATTTGTGCTAATCTGCGGCGAAATCGCCGATTTGCGCAAATCTGCGGGGAAAATCGCCGATCCGCGCGGTTCGTCGGGGGAAGTCGCCGATCAGCGGGGGTGGCGAATTTTTCTTGGGCCTAATTATCCGACCCGACCCGACCCGAGATTACACTACCCGAGGACGGGTCACAGAGACCCGTGCCCCCTATGGCGGGTCGGGTAACAAAAATTTGGCCTATCTTGACCCGCTGACCCGACCCGACCCGACCCGAATCTGTCACGGGTCGACCTTGACGGGACGGGTCGGGACGGGTCGGGTCAAATGCCCATGCCTACTCCAACGCGTTCCTGCAAGGCGAACTGCACGAGCGCATCTTCCTCCGCCGACCTCCTGGGTTTCATGCGGCTTTCCCCGAAAACACCGTCTGGCAACTAAAGCGCCCGGTTTACGGCCTGAAGCAGGCACCACGAGAATGGCATGCGAAGCTGTCTGCTACTCTCCAGTCCCTTGGCTTCTCCCCCTCCCACTCCGATGCCAGCCTCTTCATCCGCTCCTCCCCCAGTCGCTTCTTCATCTCGGTCTACGTCGACGACATGATCCTGCTCGCCGACACCAGGGCTGACATGGATCATGTGAAGCGGTCACTTCAGGAACGTCTCAAGTGCAAGGACCTTGGTCCGCTTCAGAACTACCTCGGCATGGCTATCACCCGTGATCGATCCGCCCGCACCATCACCCTCTCCCAGTCCCACTACATCGGCCAGGTCCTGGAGAAGTTCGAGATGGCACAAGCCAAACCGGTCTCCACCCCTCTCCCCTTCGGTCACCAGCTTGCGCCACCCACCTCCCCCTCCACCTCCTCCCGACCCTACGCCGAGCTTGTTGGGTCGCTGATGTACGCGATGATGTGCACTCGTCCCGACCTCGCCTACCCTGTCAGCGTCCTTGCTCGGTTCGTCGGCCCCGGCCGCCACACTGAGGAACACTGGACTGCCGCCAAGCGGGTCCTCCGCTATCTCCGTGGCACCAGAGACCACGCTCTCACGCTGGGTGGATCTTCCCCCCCCCTTCTCTCTGGCTTCAGCGACTCCTCCTGGGCAGACTGCCAGCCAGACCGCCGCTCCTCCCAAGGCTATGGCTTCACCCTCGGCAGCGGCCTCATCAGCTGGCGCTCTACCCGCTCCTCTGCCATCGCCCTCTCCTCCTGTGAAGCTGAGCTCTATGCTGGCACCATGGCCGCCCAGGAGTCCCGCTGGCTCTGCTTCCTCCTGGCTGAGCTTGGTGTTCCCCAGCGCTGCCCCACGCTCTGGTGTGACAATGCCAGCACCATCCATCTCACCCAAGACCCCGTGTTCCACGGTCGCTCCAAACACATTGAGCTCCGCTATTTCTTCATCCGTGAACTCGTCCAACAGAATCTCATTGCCGTTCGTAAGATCGCCGCGTAAGCCAACTTGGCAGATATCTTCACCAAAGCACTCCTTCGCCCTGCAAACTCTGCTCTTCTCCGCCTCATCGGCCTCGCTCCCCCAGGCGCGCCTTGATTCAGGGGTTGCTTCACTCAAGCCTTTCCGCATCTCTGCAGGTTAAGGGGTTGTGTTAGAATCTATCTTCTTGTGTAACCTGCATAGATGTTATAGGTTAGGCTAGAGTTAAGCACCCAAACTCAGTTTGGGTGTACAAACAGGGGTCACCCAGTTTGTAGGTTGGAAACCCAACCTTGGTCCAATTATTGGACCCCAAAGGTTGGGTTGGGTAGAATTATTGGTTCACTCCAATAATGTTGGCCCAACTCCAACTTGGCCAACATTATTGGACCCCACCAATAATCCCCCAACCCAACTTCTTGGTTGGGGTCCAATAATGCTCACCTAGGCTAGGATCCAACCCACTCCCTATGTAAACCCCCAATCTCCTCAATTCAATCATCAACTTCTCTTCAAACTATTGTTCTCACAGAGTGGAGGCTCAAGAGCGTGGAATGCCGACAAAGAAGTTCATGAGGTGATTATCTCCACCACTGCATTTCCATTTCCACAGCACCGGTCACCTGGTGGTTGGATCGGATGACGGTTCGGCCGAACCACGGCGGCCCAACGAGTGCGAAGCGGTGAAAGGGATCGAGCGTCCAGATGACACTCACTGCCAGCCGCGTGCGCCCGCCCAGTAATGAGCAGAGACCCTCACTGGTGGACGACAAGGGGGGCAGAGGGAGGGGAGGATTGCCATCCGCGTGCGCCCGCCCAGTAGGTAGGGAACAGAGCCCCTCGCTGCAGTGAGGAGAGAGGAGAGGAGTGGAGTGGAGTGGAGGGCAAGGAAAAGGAGGTCGATGACGAGTAAAAAAAAGTTTCATTGAGAAGTCCACCTCTCTCCTGCTCACCTGAGCGCCTCTGGCAGCATGTTGCTGCGCTGGTTGGCCAGGTACACAGACGTGCCCCTCGCCCTCGCCTCTGCATCCAACAGACTGCCCGGTCGCACGAAGAATGCCACGTCTGCTATGTGCACTCCCACCTGGGGGGGGTGTGGATGTGCGCAGGACAGGGGATGGGAAGGGATGTGATGTGACTTGTGAGGCGACTCAACAGAGTGCCCGGCCGCAAAGAACGCCACGTCTGCTATGTGCACTCCCACCTGAGAAATTGGATGTGCACGGGCAAGGGAAGGGAAAGGTAGGTGCTTCTGTGTAGACTCTCAAAGGATGCCCGGCCGCACGAAAAATGCCACGCCTGCTATGTGCACTCCCACCCGGGTGTTTGGACCGCAGAGCAGAGTATGGAACAGTCAGTAGAGGTACCACACATGGACACCAAACTCGCACAGCAGTGCCATGTATGTGCGGAGGTGAATTGAGCGCTTGTGAAGACATGCCTGAGCTAGATAAAATCATAGAAGCACGCAGCTGAAGGAACTGGTAAACACCTTACTCACACGGAGATTGTATCAAAGAAGCAGTTGACCAATGTAGAAAGCACCTGGAATAGACCCATCTGAAGTAATACCTGAATTGAAGTTTTGAAGAAATGGCTGATTATATAACAGAGGACGCAGCGGCATAGACTTATTCGAAGAAGCAACTAGAACAGACTTACCTGGATGAGACCGTTGGGGAGGTGAGCCGTGGAAAGCACATCATCCACATCCCTGCTGCCAGGTGGGTCGATGCTGATGGGGGAGGGGAGGGAGGGGATAGAGAGGGCGAGGAGAAGGGTGGAAGAGTAGGGGGAGTGGGCAGAGGGACGGAAGAGGGGGGAGGAGGTGAGCCGTGGAAAGCACATCATCCACATCCCTGCTGCCAGGGGGGTCGATGCTGATGGGGGAGGGGTCAAGGAGGAAAGTAGGGAGTGGGAGGGCAGGAGGGACAAAAACGTGGAGAGGCAGTAATCGTGATAGTGGACGAAGATTCTGGAAGGGGAGGGAAGGAAGCGGCACATGAGAGCATCAATATGAGGAACATTATTCACCCCTCGCCCCCCCTCGCTCCCTTGCCTCACCCCTCGCCCCCTCACCTACACATGAAGTGAGACCCATCTTGCAGCACCCATCCTGCATCTCACTATCTCCTACTCAGGCACCCGCCATTCCTCCTCCCCGCTGTCTTATTCACCCACGGGCGAGAGCAACGCTCAACCCCTCACCTCCTGGCCTCCTTTTCTCCCTCCTCCCCGCGTCCCCTTCCCTCCCCCCCCCTCCTTCACGTGAAGTGCGCCACCGAGAGCGCAACCCTCCACTCCTTCTCAACTCAGCCTCACCCACTCGCCCCTCATCCCCTTGGCTCCCTCACCTGCACATGAAGTGAGGCCCATCCCGCAGGTCCCTACGTCTTGCTATCTCCTCCTCAGGTACCCGCCACTCCCCCTCCCCGCCCTCTGCTGCCACCCCTCGTACTGGTTGGGGAATCTCCTGCAGAGCACTGGTAGGTAGAGGGGTGGTGAGCGAGTGAGGGTGTCGGGAATAATTTGACAGATTGGGTGGGGAGCAGCGGGGTGGAAGGGCGAGGTGGGAGTGAGAGGAGTGTCACAAACACAAGACACAGAAACACATGCATCCATTCACCCATCCCCCCACCCACACAAGCACCCCACACAAGCACCCACCCACCCATGCTATCCATCCACCACACATCAAGCCCTGCGATCCACCCACTCATTGCCGAAGGTAATTGTAGTAGTATTAAAACAATAGCTTACAAGCAGCTCGGAGCGTACGCGCGTTCCAAATCCTACTAGACATGCAGGCTACCTAGCAAGCCACGACATATATTTTAGTGGATTATATGCCTCTTAGGATTTAGAATGCCGATGAAGGCCTAACAGTCGAAACGCGCGTATGCTCTGAAGTGCTTGTATTGTAAGCTACTGTTACAATACCACTACGGCTACCTATACCTTAACTAAAGATCAACAGTCAGTTTCACTATTCAGAGCTTTCAGCTACCTACCCGCCATTATCTTGAGACCCATTCACCCACTCACACACCAAGTCCCCTCAATCACCCACCCGTCACCGAAGGGCGGAAAGGCGAGTCCCATGTCGCCTAACAGCACACATTGACACACAAGTTGCCAACCACACACCTACCCACACACAAACAAAAGCCCATTCGCGCACACATGCACTCATCCACCCATCCATGCCCATCCACCGCATGCCTCCACCCATGCACGCACCCGTCACCGAAGGGCGGGAAGGCGAGCCCCATGTCGTCCAGCAGCACACACTTATATAACACACACGCATGGCTCCACCCAGACAGCAGGTCCCCTCTATCCACACATGCACCCAATGCACCCACCCATCACCAAAGGGCGGGAAGGCGAGCCCCATGTCATCCAGCAGCACTGCCTGCTCCACGTGGAGGGCTCCCATTGGCCCCAGCGTCCTCACCAGGTACACGTCAGGATGGCGCGAGTAACGGTCCCACGCTGGGGGGAGGGGGAAGCACGGAGGGAGGCAGGAGGTGAGGATGGTGGCAGGATGGGGAATGCTGAAAAAATCCTATCAATGATATATTGTAAGAGGGGAGGGGGCAATGAGGGAGGCGTGGGAGCAAAGAGGATAGGAGGGGACAAGGGGAGGGAGGAGATGTGGGGGTCGGAGAGGAAGTGTGGGGAAAGGTGACATGGGGAAAGGTGGGGAAAGGGCACAGGGAGAGGAATGCTAAGGTGCAAACCGATGCAATGTGCTGTGAGCACACTGTGATCATGCATGCACACCCCAGTGCAAATGCATGCACACACACGTCCAAATTTACCCCAGTGCAAATGCATGCACACACCAGTGCCCATGCATGCACCTCCCCTCCACACATCCTCTCCTCATCTCCCACCTCCCCTCCGCCCTCTTCACCCCCCACTCACCTGCCAGGCGCACAACAAAGCGGCTGGCACGAAGGCGGTTCGCCTGAGTGGTGCGCAGAAACATCTGGGGAGGAGGGTTTGGGGAGGGGGAACAGAAATTGGGGTTTAAGCGAGGAGCGCGGGAGGGCCTGGAGGGACGGAGCACGACAAAGCGAGCAGATGGCACGAAGGCGGTCCGCCTGAGTGGTGCGCAGAAACATCTGAGGGGCGAGGTGATGAGGAGGCAGGGTGGAAAGGCGGAGGGGAACAGAAGAAGGGGGTTAAGCAGGGGAGGGTTTGGAGGGAGCAACGGTGGCGGGTGAGGTGGTGGTGGGAGGAGGCGGCCAGGAAAAGTGGAGAGAAAGGGGGGGAAGGGGGGAACAAGTGATGAGTGGCACGTGAATGGCTGGCAGAGGGGGTCAGCCTGAGATGTGTGGAGGAACGATCGGAGGAGTCAGTGCAAAAATGTGCAAAAATGCGAGAGGGAGGGGAAGGAACATCAGAAGGTGAAGTGGGAACCTTTGACAAGCCCCACTACACGAGGCGAGGGACTGGTTCCCCACAAGCAATGGTGCCCGCCCACTTCACAAGCAATGGTGCCCGCCCACTTCACAAGCAATGGTGCCCGCCCACTTCACAAGCAATGGTGCCCGCCCACTTCACAAGCAATGGTGCCCGCCCACTTCACAAGCAATGGTGCCCGCCCACTTCACAAGCAATGGTGCCCGCCCACTTCACAAGCAATGGTGCCCGCCCACTTCACAAGCAATGGTGCCCGCCCACTTCACAAGCAATGGTGCCCGCCCACTTCACAAGCAATGGTGCCCGCCCACTTCACAAGCAATGGTGCCCGCCCACTTCACAAGCAATGGTGCCCGCCCACTTCACAAGCAATGGTGCCCGCCCACTTCACAAGCAATGGTGCCCGCCCACTTCACAAGCAATGGTGCCCGCCCACTTCACAAGCAATGGTGCCCGCCCACTTCACAAGCAATGGTGCCCGCCCACTTCACAAGCAATGGTGCCCGCCCACTTCACAAGCAATGGTGCCCGCCCACTTCACAAGCAATGGTGCCCGCCCACTTCACAAGCAATGGTGCCCGCCCACTTCACAAGCAATGGTGCCCGCCCACTTCACAAGCAATGGTGCCCGCCCACTTCACAAGCAATGGTGCCCGCCCACTTCACAAGCAATGGTGCCCGCCCACTTCACAAGCAATGGTGCCCGCCCACTTCACAAGCAATGGTGCCCGCCCACTTCACAAGCAATGGTGCCCGCCCACTTCACAAGCAATGGTGCCCGCCCACTTCACAAGCAATGGTGCCCGCCCACTTCACAAGCAATGGTGCCCGCCCACTTCACAAGCAATGGTGCCCGCCCACTTCACAAGCAATGGTGCCCGCCCACTTCACAAGCAATGGTGCCCGCCCACTTCACAAGCAATGGTGCCCGCCCACTTCACAAGCAGTGGTGCCCGCCCACTTCACAAGCAGTGGTGCCCGCCCACTTCACAAGCAGTGGTGCCCGCCCACTTCACAAGCAGTGGTGCCCGCCCACTTCACAAGCAGTGGTGCCCGCCCACTTCACAAGCAGTGGTGCCCGCCCACTTCACAAGCAGTGGTGCCCGCCCACTTCACAAGCAGTGGTGCCCGCCCACTTCACAAGCAGTGGTGCCCGCCCACTTCACAAGCAGTGGTGCCCGCCCACTTCACAAGCAGTGGTGCCCGCCCACTTCACAAGCAGTGGTGCCCGCCCACTTCACAAGCAGTGGTGCCCGCCCACTTCACAAGCAGTGGTGCCCGCCCACTTCACAAGCAGTGGTGCCCGCCCACTTCACAAGCAATGGTGCCCGCCCACTTCACAAGCAATGGTGCCCGCCCACTTCACAAGCAATGGTGCCCGCCCACTTCACAAGCAATGGTGCCCGCCCACTTCACAAGCAATGGTGCCCGCCCACTTCACAAGCAATGGTGCCCGCCCACTTCACAAGCAATGGTGCCCGCCCACTTCACAAGCAATGGTGACCGCCCACTTCACAAGCAATGGTGCCCGCCCACTTCACAAGCAATGGTGCCCGCCCACTTCACAAGCAATGGTGCCCGCCCACTTCACAAGCAATGGTGCCCGCCCACTTCACAAGCAATGGTGCCCGCCCACTTCACAAGCAATGGTGCCCGCCCACTTCACAAGCAATGGTGCCCGCCCACTTCACAAGCAATGGTGCCCGCCCACTTCACAAGCAATGGTGCCCGCCCACTTCACAAGCAATGGTGCCCGCCCACTTCACAAGCAATGGTGCCCGCCCACTTCACAAGCAATGGTGCCCGCCCACTTCACAAGCAATGGTGCCCGCCCACTTCACAAGCAATGGTGCCCGCCCACTTCACAAGCAATGGTGCCCGCCCACTTCACAAGCAATGGTGCCCGCCCACTTCACAAGCAATGGTGCCCGCCCACTTCACAAGCAATGGTGCCCGCCCACTTCACAAGCAATGGTGCCCGCCCACTTCACAAGCAATGGTGCCCGCCCACTTCACAAGCAATGGTGCCCGCCCACTTCACAAGCAATGGTGCCCGCCCACTTCACAAGCAATGGTGCCCGCCCACTTCACAAGCAATGGTGCCCGCCCACTTCACAAGCAATGGTGCCCGCCCACTTCACAAGCAATGGTGCCCGCCCACTTCACAAGCAATGGTGCCCGCCCACTTCACAAGCAATGGTGCCCGCCCACTTCACAAGCAATGGTGCCCGCCCACTTCACAAGCAATGGTGCCCGCCCACTTCACAAGCAATGGTGCCCGCCCACTTCACAAGCAATGGTGCCCGCCCACTTCACAAGCAATGGTGCCCGCCCACTTCACAAGCAATGGTGCCCGCCCACTTCACAAGCAATGGTGCCCGCCCACTTCACAAGCAATGGTGCCCGCCCACTTCACAAGCAATGGTGCCCGCCCACTTCACAAGCAATGGTGCCCGCCCACTTCACAAGCAATGGTGCCCGCCCACTTCACAAGCAATGGTGCCCGCCCACTTCACAAGCAATGGTGCCCGCCCACTTCACAAGCAATGGTGCCCGCCCACTTCACAAGCAATGGTGCCCGCCCACTTCACAAGCAATGGTGCCCGCCCACTTCACAAGCAATGGTGCCCGCCCACTTCACAAGCAATGGTGCCCGCCCACTTCACAAGCAATGGTGCCCGCCCACTTCACAAGCAATGGTGCCCGCCCACTTCACAAGCAATGGTGCCCGCCCACTTCACAAGCAATGGTGCCCGCCCACTTCACAAGCAATGGTGCCCGCCCACTTCACAAGCAATGGTGCCCGCCCACTTCACAAGCAATGGTGCCCGCCCACTTCACAAGCAATGGTGCCCGCCCACTTCACAAGCAATGGTGCCCGCCCACTTCACAAGCAATGGTGCCCGCCCACTTCACAAGCAATGGTGCCCGCCCACTTCACAAGCAATGGTGCCCGCCCACTTCACAAGCAATGGTGCCCGCCCACTTCACAAGCAATGGTGCCCGCCCACTTCACAAGCAATGGTGCCCGCCCACTTCACAAGCAATGGTGCCCGCCCACTTCACAAGCAATGGTGCCCGCCCACTTCACAAGCAATGGTGCCCGCCCACTTCACAAGCAATGGTGCCCGCCCACTTCACAAGCAATGGTGCCCGCCCACTTCACAAGCACACACATGGGGCAACTCATGAGGCGGCTGAAGACAGCACTCACCAGCGGCAGCACTCACCAGCGGCAGCACTCACCAGCGGCAGGCAGCACTCACCAGCGGCAGGCAGCACTCACCAGCGGCAGGCGAGCATCCATGGGTACACAGAGTAAGCCAATCCTTGCCCTGTGGAGGAACGGACGGGCAAAGGGCACACAGGCTAGGCGCAAAGCATGCAGGAACAGGGTTAAGGGGGATTAAGATAGTCGAAGAGGGGTGAGGTTATGCGTTCAATGCGGAAAATGAAGCTCAAGTACGACAAGGCTAAATTGTGTTAAGTCGATTTTTGAGTCGACTCAAAAATCGACTTAGCTCAAGTACGAGGCTACATTGTGTTTGGAGAACAAGGGCGGCGGAGGGCATTGCTGAATCGGAACCTTGGTCAACATCACTGCCCCCACAAATAAGTTGGGTTGGGGAATTCTTGTAGGAAAGTTGCCAAAACCTTTGTCAACGTTGAGCAAGTATTATCGGAGCTTTGATAACCTCCAAACCTTACCCTGGGGGCCAAAATAGAGTACCAGGGTAAAATAGGGTAAGACCTAGTTGTACACTTGAGTTAGACTTTGAGATGGAGTTTGTGCCCATCTCCACCTAAGAAGGACTAGGTTTCTTAGGATAATAAAGTAGGAGTATCCATAGAAATACGGACAGCAATCAGTCACTCACTTGGAGGAGGAGGCACTCACTTGGAGGAGGAGGCACTCACTTGGAGGAGGAGGCACTCACTTGGAGGAGGAGGCACGGGAGAGCTTGCTGCGTGAGCTGGCTCTTGTGCTGCTTGCCGCCATGCTGTGCACCCGCGTGCTGCTCTCCCTGCTCCCCCCGCCCATGCTCTCGCTCCTCATGCTGCTGCCACCCCGCATGCTGCCGTAAGGAGTGGTGTCTGGCTCGCTGCATGTGGCCGTGCTGGAGCTTCTCACACCATGCACTGCTGCACCTGCTGCTGGCACTGTTGCACTGGCTGTGCCTGCTGGGTCTATTGCACCTGCTGGGTCTGTTGCGCCGGGTGTGCCTGCTGCTCCTGCTGCTGGCTCATGTGCAGCTAACAGCACATTGTGCCTGTGCTGCTCCTCTGCCACCTCTTCCCATCCCTCCTCTCCTTTCTCTTCCTCCTCTTCATCTTCCTCCTCTTCCTCACTCTCTTCCTCCTCACTCTCCTCCTCTTCCTCCTCCTCTTCCTCCTCTTCCTCCTCCTCCTCCTCTTCCTCCTCCTCCTCCCCACAGCCACTCCCCTCCTCTCGACCCCACAGCACCGCCCTCCACCGCATCAACATGGTCTTTCAAGCAAACCACAAAGTCACGGCTCACTCGGTGCAGCACACTCACCACCTCGCCAACCATCTCATACTCCTCACCCTCGTCCGCATTTTCCCAATCCTCCCCATTCGCCCCCCTGCCCCTCCCCATGCCCATTTCTCCATACCCACCCCCACCCCCACGCCCACTCTGCTGATTCCAGTGCGAGGCTGCAGGTCTTTTGCGGTGCCACCTCTCCTGCCCCACCTTACTCCCACGCTCCTCCTCCTCCCCATACCCATCCCCCTGCCCTTGCGCATTCCCATCCCAACCCGCCTGCCACCCACTGTAATCCTGCCCATACCCATTCCCATACCCATCTCCACCCCCCTGTGCCTCCCCATACCCATCTCCACCCCCCTGTGCCTCCCCATACCCATCTCCACCCCCCTGTCCCTGCCCATACCCACCCCCTTGCCCCTGCCCATCGCCAAGCCCTCCCCAGCCCCCATGCCCCTGCTCCTTCGCCTGCCACCCTGCCTGTCCCCTGCCATCGTCCTCTCCTCCACCCCTCACCCCTCCCCCGTTCCACCCTCCATCACCCCAACCAGGGGCAGGGGAAGCTGCGGACGCCTCCTCCCAACCAGTAGGGGGAGGGGGAGGGGCGGCAGGGACCTCCCCCCAACCAGTAGGGGCAGAGGGAGGGGCAGCAGGGACCTCCCCCCAGCCAGTAGGGGCAGGGGGAGGGGGAGTTTCCCCCCAGCCCGTGGGTGGAGGGGGAGTAGGGGGAGCTTCCACCCAGCCAGCAGGGGGAGGCGGGGGCGGGGCTTCCCTCCACCCTGAAGACGCTGCGGGAGGGGGAGCATCATCCCAGGCTGAAGGGGCCGGGGGGAGGTGAGTGTGAGCGTCAGACATGGCAGCAGCAACGCCACCCCCACCACCACCCCAACCATTATCGGCACCCCCGTCCCCATCCTCCCCACCGGCACTGCCAGCCCAACCAACCCCACCAACCCCACCTCCATCTCCCATTCCCTCATTCCACCCACTGTCATACCTCCTCACGTCCACCACACCCTCCTCTCCCCCCCTCATCCCGTCCCCTGCTTTCTCGCTCTCCCCCCATCCCCTCCTCTCATCCTCCTTCCCCACGCCTCCTCCCCCCATTTGCCCGCCCCCCATTTGCCCGCCAACCATGTGCCCTCCCCCCATTTGCCCGCCCCTTACGTGCCCTCCTCCCATATGCCCTCCCCCCGCCACCCTGCGCTTGCCCAGCAGCCTGACTGCCACGGTGTCGCCAGGCAGAGCGCGGTTGAGCTGGCGCCATGAGAGGATGGTGATGTCGCTGTGGGGGGCGTGCACCTGCTTGCGACTGGAAAACAAGGACAGGGCATGGGGCAGGGAGCAGGGAGGGGTAGGGGTTGGGCAAAGAGTGGGCAAATGGATAAGGGGTACGGCTGACAAGCAGAGCGCGGTTGAGGTGGCGCCATGAGATGATGGTGATATCGCAGTGGGGAGCGTGCACCTGCTTGCGACTGGGAGAGGAAAGAGAGGTTCGGGAGGCATGGGGCATGGGGCAGGGGGCAGGGGGCAGGGGTTGGAATGGATGAGCAAAGCGCGGTTGAGGTGGCGCCATGAGAGGATGGTGATATCGCAATGGGGTGAGTGCACCTGCTTGCGACTGCACCAGGGAAACGGGGCAAGAGCAAGGGTAGGCAGAGCGTGGATAGCTAGCTGTTAGAGCTATGCGCTGAGGCGAGCTTTGAGTGAGGCAAGGATGGTGAGGCGAGCTTTGAGTGAGGCAAGGATGGTGAGGCGAGCTAGAGTTGAGCAAAATTCCGAACGCCTGTTCGGTTCGCCTCGAACATGTTCGAGGCGAACCGAACAGGCATTTTTTTTTTGCCTAAATCGTTCGGCCCGAACATGTTCGACGTTCGACTCAGTCAACGGGGGCCCCCGAGTCGAACACGAACATGTTCGTGTTCGACTCGGGGGCTACGCGAACACCAATGTGTTCGCGTCAATTTTGGCCGCGACCAATTTTAGGTCGCGGCCGATCTGAGTTTGGGCTCATTTCGATAGCTCAAACTCAGATCACGTTTTCCAGCCTAGCAAGCCCTACTACCTCACACCCACACCCCACCCTTGCATTCTTCTTGTAGAAGCCTTAGATCTCCGTCACAACTTATCCTCCCGGAGATCATGTCTAGGGTTTTGTTGGATGAGTCTATGTAGAGTAATTTTCATGTAGTTATTGGAGCTACTTCTTCAAGCAACACGTGGTCTAAGCGGGCCGGTTCGAATCACTCATTTAGGAAAGCCACACGAAGTTCAGTACGTTTTGGGCCGTGTTACTACCCAAAGAAACCGCCCGTTGCCTCACTGCGGGTTTTAGGGTTTTTGAGCCGAGGGTGTAGTTATGGCTTCTGGCCGAGGTGGATCTGTAGCACGAGGTCCAGGCGGCGCTCGGAGCGGCGTACCAGGTTCTCCACCACGACCTATGGAGGGGCGGGTAGGGGATGGACCTGGAGGAGCCGGCGCTTGCTTTGTGGGAGGGTTTCTTTCCTTAGCGGCGCCGACATCACGTCAGTCTTTCCGCTACGACGGCCCACGACCCCCTCCTTCAGGGCAGACACAGCCGGAGAGTGGCAGTGGGGAGGAGGATGAGGAGGAGGAGGGTGATGGCGAAGAGGATGAGGACGATGAGGGGAGCGGGGATGACAGTGAGGCAGGGTGGGACCCAGAGAAAGATGGCGGTGGGGAGGGGGGAGAGGATGATGAAGACCACGAGATGGATGGGTTGGAGCCAGAGGGGCAGGAAGAGGAGGTGGGAGAGGGTGGTGGAGAGGCGGCGACGGAAGCGGGCTCACACCATGTGCGTGAAGGTGGTGGGAGCGTGGGGGTTGCCGTGGGGAAGAAGGCCAAGACCATTAGGCCGCCAAGGCGGGGGAAGAGGGTGAGCAAGTTGAGGGAGCGGGCGTACCCCGCTACGTTCACAGGGGAGCCGTTGGGCGAGGGTGTGATCGCACCGGAGTTCCTAGACGATGACGGAGGGTCAGAAAGTAGCAAGGGGACGGGCAGCAGGAAACCGGGGTGGCAAGTTATGATGTTCGGACCGAAGGACGCAGACGAGAAGCGTCAGTGCAAGATTTGCACTGACAAGATCTCGTGGAAGCAGTCCACAACCACTCTCGGCGAGCGGCACTTCGCGAGCCACCATACAGCGCATTTGCTCGTGTGGCACCACCGTTACCACACCCCGTCCATACAGTTGCCAGGCGAGACGTTTCCTCGAGGGGGATACAAGGGTGTGCCAGATGGCTACGTCGAAGCTTACCCGCATGCTAAGACGTGGCCTCATCTCGCGACCAAGACAGGGCAGGAAGCTGGTGGGGATAAGAAGGGGGGCGGGATTGAGCGGTTTATGACAACAAAGCTGACTTCGGTGGAGCTCCGACAGGCGATCGCCAAGCTAGTGGTCACCTGCGACCTCCCCTTCCGCATCGTGGAGGCCGAGGCTGTAAGTGCCCTGTCCCATGGGGTCTTGTGGGCGGGTTATGGAAGCATCTGATTTTGCAGGTCCGTTTGTTGCGCTCGATTGTTAGCTTGTGCCTGCATGTCTCACGCCCATCACCTCTTCTTTGACGCCCCTCTCTCCCCTCCCCATGTCTCCACCCCCCTCCAGTTTCGGGAGCTGCTGATCCTGCTAAATCGCAACTGCGCGCAGAAGAACTTCATCCCCTCCCGATGGACGGTCTCCCGCGACACCGTTGTCTTTGCGGCGGCCGCTCTCCAGTCCGCCATCGCGGAGATGCTGGCGAAGGAGGGGGAGCTGGGGTGACCGGGCACTGGATAGACGAGGCCTTCCAGCTGCGGACGATGGTGCTTGAGATCCGTGAGATGCTCGGGCGGCATGGGGGCAAGGAGATAGCAAAGGTGGTTGAGGAGACAGTGGTGCAGTGGAAGTTGGAGGGGCGTTGTCTTGGGTTGACGTCAGACAACGCCTCCAGCAACATTGCTGCCTTCAGGCGGCTGTCGGAGGAGGGGTGTGGGAGGTGCTTCTTCACCGAGCGCATGCACTTCCGGTGAGTGTATGTGTGATGGTGTGTGTGGGCTGCGGGCGTTCCTAGGCGTGACTTGTTTGGTGTGTAGCTAAACGTGTTGCTTCGTAGCTTGCTTTGACCATGCCTACTCACCCTTCCCCTTCTGTCCGTCTTCCATGCTGTTTTGCTCGCGCAGCTGCCTGGCACATGTGATCAACCTTGCAGTGAAGGCTGCTCTCGCAGTGGCCGCCATACGCAAGCTGCTGAAGATCCTGAGGGAGATGGCGTCGTGGGTGGGCTTCTCGCCGCAGCGCTCAGGGAAGTTTCTGGGCCTACAACGGACCTTGAACGCGCAGGCCAACCCCGCCAAACCGAAGCCGGCGCTGAAGCTGGTGCAGGACTCACCCACGCGCTGGGGGTCGACCCACGACATGGTCGAGCGAGCCGGGGTTCTGCAGGAACCAATCAATGTCTTCTTTGCCCAGACACAGGTGTGTGTGACGGGTGTGCGCGACCGGTGTTGTGTGTGTGCGGGGGTTACGTGTGCGGGTAGGCCTTACCACCTAGACTAAGCACTGACAACATCGGCGGTGGTCATGTTTGTTGTGCGTTTTACAATGACAAGCCACCCTCAGTAACCCAAGTTTCATTGGTTCAACCATGCCTGTCCAAACCCCCCAACCTACAGGGCTTGTCGGCGATTGACAAGAAGAAGGTCGAAAGCTTGCGCCTGACAGACGCAGATTGGGAGACTCTGCATGCTGTCAAGGCATTCCTCAGTCCATTCGCCAGGGTCTCGAAGGCAGCGGAGGGGGCGGCGTACCCTACAGTGTCGATGGTGGTGCCGTACTACAACGGCCTGATCGACGCTTTGGAGGCGCGCCTTGCGAAGGGGCCATCGGCTGCGCTGAAGCCGATGATCGATGCGGCGCTGGGGGTGCTGAAGAAGTATGCGTATATGTCCTCCAACGAGCTGTGGATCGCCACCTTCTTGGACCCGTCCATGAAGGCGGCGTGGTTTGATGACGAGCACTGGGAGTCGCAGCATCCCGAGACCGAGCCGAGGGTGAGGCCGCGTCCCACTTCTAGCGAGGTGGTCCAGCTGGTACGCGACCGCGTGACCGAGTACCAGGCCCGGGCTGCAGCGCTAGCCCCCCGGGCGCCCCCACTTGCCACTGTGACGGAGGAGGAGGAGGGTGACGCAGCGGATGACGACGAGGATGCGCAGTATATCCCTAGTCGCCGTCGACTTGCAGCGCGTCTCTCAGCGAGCCAGCAGGCGGGGAGGGGCAGGATGCTACAGGATGACGAGGTTAGCAGGTACCTGTCGGAGCGGGTTCGGGATGACGTGACGGAGTTGGAGTACTGGCGCACCGCCACCAACATGCAGACGCTTAGGCGCATGGCCCGGGATTATCTCGCGATCCCTGCCACGTCCGCATCGAGCGAGCGGGTGTTCTCCCTTGGCCGCAACGTCATTTCCTGGAAGCGGCACCGCCTGGCCTCCCAGAGAACGCGAGCTATCATGGTTCTCCGATCCTGGTACACCTCACACCCCGGCCAGAGGATAGGCGAGGGCCGCCGACAGAGAGGCGTCGCACCGCCCGAGTTTGCCATTGAGGGCGAGGGGGCGGAGGAAGACGACGAGGAGGAGGAGGATGAGGAGGAGGAGGAGGAGGAGGAGGGGGAGGGTGTGGGGGCTGCTGATGACACAACTGGCGGGGTGGAGCCTGCTGTTGGTAGTAGCAGTGGTGGCGCCATAGCCTAGGAATTTATTAAATTGTTGCATTTCTGGTACACCACAGGATGATGTTTGTAGGCTTAGGTGGGTTGCATGAACAACTTTTCATCATGCAAACCCCATGTTTTATCTTTCTGGACCTTAACGTACTCTTTCTGACAGGTGTGACTATAACGAATCTGCTTAAAATCGAACGCGAACATGTTCGGGGCGAACATGTTCGAGTTCGCCTTCTCGTACAAAGTGTTCGCCCCCGAGGGCGAACATCGAACACCTCTGTCGGCCCAAATCGTTCGCCGAACCGAACAGTGTTCGGTTCGGCTGTTCGAGCTGTTCGACAGAGGACGAACTCGAACCTGTTCGAGTTCGACCTATGCTCATCCCTAAGGCGAGCTTTGAGTGAGGCAAGGATGGTGAGGCGAGCTTTGAGTGAGGCAAGGATGGTGAGGCGAGCTTTGAGTGAGGCAAGGATGGTGAGGCGAGCTTTGAGTGAGGCAAGGATGGTGAGGCGAGCTTTGAGTGAGGCAAGGATGGTGAAGCGAGCTTTGAGTGAGGCAAGGATGGTGAGGCGAGCTTTGAGTGAGGCAAGGATGGTGAGGCGAGCTTTGAGTGAGGCAAGGATGGTGAGGCGAGCTTTGAGTGAGGCAAGGATGGTGAGGCGAGCTTTGAGTGAGGCAAGGATGGTGAGGCGAGCTTTGAGTGAGGCAAGGATGGTGAGGCGAGCTTTGAGTGAGGCAAGGATGGTGAAGCGAGCTTTGAGTGAGGCAAGGATGGTGAGGCGAGCTTTGAGTGAGGCAAGGATGGTGAGGCGAGCTTTGAGTGAGGCAAGGATGGTGAGGCGAGCTTTGGGGCAAAGATGGTGAGGCGAGGCGCAAAACTCGCCTTGATACACACGGAGTTCATATTCTGCGGTGCCTGATAACTAGCAAGCTGCTATGCCACAGCCAAGTGAGCATACGGGGAGTGCACATTGCACCTCCTTGCGATTGACACAGAGGATGGGGAGTGACTTTTCAGTCGAATCGACTTTTGAGTCGACTAAAAAGTCAAAAGTTTCGAGTCGACTCAAAAGTCACCATGTGAGCATACGGGGAGTGCACCTTTGTGCGAATGACAGAGGATGAGGGTTGTGAAGATGTGGGGGAAAGGGATTGGAAACACAAATGGGGAGCAGCAAATGAGAACTGCATGGGAAATTCAAGGGGACGAAACGCAAGTCAGTCAGCAGTGCTGTTCGCTCACTTTGGTTTGACGGTGGCTTTAAACGGCTCAGTGGTGGTGATATGCAGCACCCCCACTCGGATTGCCCCCACTGCCACGCCCTCCGCCACTGCTGTGCCTGGCGAATCGGAAATGGGATTTGGGAACAGTGGTGGTTGTGATATGCAGCACACCCACTCCGATAGCCCCCACTGCCACCCCTTCTGCCACTGGTGTGCCTGGTGCAAGGGGGATGGGATAAGGGAGAGTGGGAAAGGGAGGAAATCAGAATGCATGGGTTGGGTGGTAGTGGTAAGGTTAGGGAATGGGAACAGTGGTGGTTGTGATACACAGCACTTCCAATCAGATAGCCCCCACTGCCACCCCCTCCGCCACCCTCTCCTGTTCCACACTTCCTCTCCCATTCCACACCCCCTCTCCCATCCCAAACTCCCTCTCCCATTCCACGCTCCCTCTCCCATTCCACGCTCCCTCTCCCATTCCACGCTCCCTCTCCCATTCCACGCTCCCTCTCCCATTCCATGCTCCCTCTCCCGTACTTGCCCCCGAGCCTCACTTGACAGGTGCGGTGTGAAAACCTCCTTGCGCTGCTTCCCACTGCCAAGCCTGCCACTTCCGAACCTGCTGCTGTCGAGCCTGCCACCGCCAGACGTGGACTTGAAGGATGATGAGAGGCGCAATGCATGCTGTGTAGCCTGGTGGGGAGAGAGGAGGACGAGAAATAGGAAGAGAAGGGGGTAAGTACGGATGAGAATGTTGGTGGGGAATGAAGCTTGCCACTTGAAGCAGAGGATGGTCGATGATGCCCCACGCTAAGAGCATCAAGGGATGGTTATGGAAGTGGGGTTGGGTTGGGGATGTGGATAGAAACGAAATTCCTCTCCAGAGTTGAATCAAAAGTCCGACTCTAGTAGATGAACAATGTGGAACAAAGTTGGAGTGAGGTCACAAGAGACAAGAGAATGCAAGAGAGAGTGAGCTAATCACAGAGTGGGTTGAGTGGAGTGCTCACGAGAGAGTTCCATGAGCGTGGAGACAGTGGTGCAGTGGCGTGCTTTCTAAGTAGCACATGTGTTACCAGTTCGTTAAACGTGCTTAGAAAAGAGTGAGGGTGCTCACGAGAGAGTCCATGAGCGTGGTGACCGTGGTGTGGTGGCCGTACCTTCCAACTAGCACGGGGGGTTATCAACTTATGAAGAAGTGGGTTCAAATCATGTGCTCACGAGAGAGTCCATGAGCGTGGTGACCGTGGTGTGGTGGCCGTAGTAGGTCTGAAAGAACGCCTTTGTTGTCATCACCTGTGGCACAGGGAGATGGGCGACATAGGGGGAAACAAAGAAAGGGATGAAAGGCAGGACAAGGAAGAATCCATGAGTCCATGAGCGTGGTGACCATGGTGCAGTGGCCGTAGTAGGTCTGGAAGAACGCCCCTGTTGTCATCACCTGTGGCACGGGGAGATGGGAGATGGGGGACAGAAGGGCCAACAAGGAAAGAGACAAAAGGCGAAACAAGGAACTGCATCGAAAATTGGGAGCAGGAGGGAAGGAGGAAGGAGAGAGAAGGCTGATGTTGCAGCAAGCGAAGTAAGGAGGTCATATCTCTTGACACTTTTCCTGTTAAGTTCAGAAAAGTCTCAAAACTGAGACATGCACCAAAGATCACATCACATCTCAGCATGCACGTACCACCACTTCGTTACGCTGTACGGCCTGCAGCACACACGCAGCACCCACCCATCACACCATGAATTGAAACCAATGAAGCACAGGCACGTACCACCACTTCGTTACGCTGTACGGCCTGCAGCACCTCGCCCAATGGCATGCTGCCACGTGCCGCTGCCAGCTCGTCCGACACGATAAGGATGGGTATGGCGCGGTGGAGATGGGTTGAGAACCACTGCGCTGCCGCCACCACATGACAGAGATCCACTGGGACGGTGTAGAATCAGAGGGGGTAAGAAGCACACTCGCTCTTGAGGCGAGATGCAGGGTTGATCGATGAATATGTGTTTTCTCAAGTCAACCCAAAGGAGGAATGAGACGCATATTAGGTCGATGTGAGATTAAGGAATGATAAAGAGGGCATACTGTGGACATCACACGTAACCCCCCCCACACACACACACATGCGTCTAACACACAAACGTTAGCCGACACACCCTCACCAAGCGTCTCCATTAGCCCACCAGTGACGAACAAGTGAAGAACCGTTCTCATTAGGTGACCGGCACACATTCAACTCAAACACCCATCCACTCACCTTCAGCGGAAGCAGCATCACCAAGTGTCACTCTCAAGCTGGCCCGCCTCTCCTCCGCCATGGTGTGCGTGAAGAGGAATGTTAGCGCCCCTCTCGTGTGCACTCACACGCACACCCACCTTCAGCAGAAGCAGCATCACCAAGTGTCACCCTCAGGCTGGCCCGCCTCTCCTCTGCCATGGCAACCCCCCTCTCTCGCTCGCACTCATAAGCACACAGATCCACACAAACACGCGCAGGCACTCACACCCACCCACCTTCAGCGGAAGCAGCATCACCAAGTGTCACCCTCAAGCTCGCCTGCCTCTCCTCCGCCATGGTGTGCGTGAAGAGGAAGTGCCGGTCGTCAAAATAGGAACTCTCCCGCCTGCCGTCCTCACACAGAGCACTGCGATGAGGTGAAGGAATGAGAGGAAGAAGCATGTTGAAAGTGAGACCAAATGGGTGAACACAAAATTATCTTCAAAAGTCTCCACAAGACAGAGCAACTGAGGGGAGAATGCAAGGAGAGGGAGAAAGACGAGGGGAGAGGGGTGAAAGACGAGTACACTACCAAAAACCACCTAGAACAGGGTTGAGATGAGAGTTGAGAGCAGGCCAGGGTATATTAAGCAATGCGACCATGGGAGATACAGAAAAGGAGTGGGCCATTAGATAGGAGAATAGGACAGCAAGGGCGGCATGGTGTGGGTGTGGGTGTGGGAGGAACGGACCGGATGCGGCCGGCGTGATGGGCGCTGGAGAAGTGGAGGACCTAGGGGGTGGAAGACGAATGGAGGAGGGGGAGGAAGGGGGGGTAGGAGGGGGGAGGGGAAAGGGGGGAGGGGAGAGGGGGGAGGGGAAAGGGGGGAGGGGAAAGGGGGGAGGGGAGAGGGGGGAGGGGAAAGGGGGGGGAGGGGAAAGGGGGGAGGGGAGAGGGGGGAGGGGAGAGGGGGGAGGAGAGGGGGAAGGGGAGAGGGAGATGGGGACTGAGATATGGGAAAGAAGCTAGAAAATAGGATGATAGGAGATGGGAGGAGGAAATGGTAGTAGTGGAACAAGGGGATGGGACAAAGGGCATTCAAAAGAGAAACATTCCATGTCCCCCCAGCTCATGCTACCTTTTGCCACGTCAACCAGCCCACCCACCCACTCCCTCAACCCCCTCTACCCTCCGATTCGGCAACCTGCTCTTGTCATGCACCCACACACCTCCTTGAGCACACAGCCCTGCGCCCACCCACAGACCCATCCATCCATCGTCCTCTCCCACTTCCCGCCCTCCTACCACTTGGGCAATCTTTCCTGCCCGCACCTCCTTGAGCACGGAGCCCAGCACGATAGTGTGGCGTATGGGAGGCAGCTCCCACACCTCCATGTACTCCACCAGTGACGCTGCATCGGGGATCTGGGAGAGAGTGGGGCGCGGGGGGACAGAGGGGATGGGGGGAGAGGGTGAGAGGTGGGGAGAGGGGGAGAGGCTGGGAGGGGGGAGAGTAGGGAGGAGGGAAGAAGGCGGGATGGGGAGAGTAGGGATGAAGAGAGGGCAGGAAGGAGGGGGAGAGTTGAAGGTGGGAGAGACACGGTAATCAACAGCAAGAACAAGTTGTCGCAGCAATTAAAGATGCATGGAATGGAAGTGAGTGAGTAAGACTATTTCTCTGCCACAAGTTGTCTTCCAATGCTCTCCGCGGTCTCTCCCTTGTCCTCCATCATTGCCTCTCTTCCTCCACCTCCCTTCCTTCCCTTTCAAGTGTAAGGCGGGCGGAGGGAAAAGGGGAGCGCGAGACGTGAAGAGGGAAGGGGGGGAGAAGTTCATGGAGGAGAAATGGAGGATGAAAGGCAACGACGACGAACTGGAGAAGGACCGCGAGGGGCACTGATAGACAACTTGTGGTAGAGAAATAGCCTCACTCGCTCACCGCGACAGAGTTGAACCGAGGGGGGGGAAGGGGGAATGATTCTTGAGTGAACTCATCCACAATCTCAATCACTCCCTTCCCTGGACCCTGAACACCCATTCCCTCCCTCATTCACACATCCACTCCCTCCCTCATTCACTCACCTATCCCTCCCGCATTCACTCAACCATTCCCTCCACCATTCACCCACCCACTCCCTCCCTCATTCACCCAATCACTCCCTCCCTCCCTCCCGCCCTCCCGCCCTCACGCCGTAGCGTCTTGCGCTAGCAGACAAGGAAGAAGCAGGTCCTCCTCCGGGAACTGCCAGAGCAACTCCCTAAGAAGCAGCTGGTTAGGAAGCACATCACTCACTCACTCACCTCATAGTGTCTCGCGCTAGCAGACAAGGAAGGCCGGTCAGCTTCGTATTGAAGCAGCAAATCCTCCTAGCTCCCGGGGAAGCAGCTGGCAGGGGAGCGCATCACTCACTCACCACATAGTGTTGCGCACTAGCGGACAACGAAGGCCGGTCCGCCTCGACTTGGAGCAGCAAGTCCTCCTCAGGAAACTGCCAGAGCAACTCCCTGGGAAGCAGTTGGCAGGGGAGCACGTCCCCAAATAGCAGCGGGTCATGGCGGGGGAGGTGCGTGTAGCACGCATAGCAGAGCGCAGACCCACACTTGATGTCCTCCCTTAGATAGTGCTCCTGCACAAGCTTCATCACCCCCACTCCCCCCGCTGCTGCCCCCCCTATTCTGCCTCCTGTTCCCCCCGCTCCCCCCCTTCCTCGCCCGGAGCCTCCTCCGCCAGCGCTGCCGTAGATGCCGCCTCCCCCAGAAACGCCGAGAAGGCTGACGGTCGCGGCGGACCCCGCGCCCACGCGGATGCCCAATGAGGGCCCGCCAGCTGTCACCCCGCGCTTCCTGCGCATGCGCACGTTGGTGTCCTCCTGGGGGAGGGGGGGGGGGGCAGCGCGGAAGTGAATTGGGAGGTCAAGGGAAACGGGAGAGGCAGAGTGGAAGGGGGATCAAGGGGGGGAAGAACGAAATTACGCAAACAGTTGTTGGGGAAGAAAATTCTGAGGGCACTGCTGTGACGGAAGAGTGGGAGACGCGCTGATTGAGAACTTGCGATGACACTTGCCGCGCTTCCCTGCTCCAGCTCCCATACGGCCCCTCTTATTAGTAGTAATCTGGTACTTAGGCCACATGGACACGACCCGCGAACAGGATTCGCAGGAATCACGACTCGTGATTCGCAGACAGGAATCGCGAACGGGATTTCGCAGACAGGGGTCGCGAACGGGATTTCGCAGACAGGAGTCGCGAACGGAATTTCGCAGACAGGAGTCGAGAACGGGATTTCGCAGACAGAAGTCGCGAACGAGATTTAGCAGACAGGAGTCGCGAACGGGATTTCGCAGACAGGAGTCCCGAACGGGATTTCGCAGAAAGGAGTCGCGACGGGATTTCGCGGAGTCGCGAACGAATTTCGCAGACAGAAGTCGCGAACGGGATTTCGTAGACAGGAGTTGCGAACGAGATTTCGCAGACAGGATTCCTGAACGAGTTCCAAGTCGTCGCCGCTGCTATGAGCGACTCCATTCTCGGATGGACATCCCATTCTGCCGTTCCCGTATGAGGCAATTACACTCTTAAAAGAGGCGGAAATGTTGCGTGGCAAGAACTTACATATCTCGCTGTCCATCTGCCGAGACTCATGGTATCATGGGATCTGTGGGCTGTTTGCCAAGCAATGGCGGCGTACCCGCCGATTCTGGCATTTGTCGTTCTACGAAATTACGAAGGCAGATTGGACAGGCGTGAAGGACGTGGTGCGGAACGCCTCGGAACGGGACTGGACGGGTCGGGACAGCTTTCAACCACTCAAAATCGTTTTGAAAACATTTTACACCACTTTGCACCACGGGGCGTGCTGGGGCGTGCACCAAATTCGCGGTGAATCTCGTTACAAATTGTTTTTGAACGGCGCTGAATGGTCCCGACTAGACCCGTCCCGTTCCGAGGCGTTCCGCACCATGTCCTAAGGGCGTGTAACACTGTACCGACCAACCGGATAAAACGACCATTGGGCGGTTCTGGCGATTGCGAACATTTTGGGGTTACACCCACTGATTAGCACTATGTGGTAGTCACTCTGACAGCAGAAAATTTTTCGGTGTGATTTTCATTAAATTCTGGATCACGGACATACGCGACTATCCCGGGTAGGGGATTAGTGTTTGACATTCAGATATTTTCCCACAAGTTGTTTCGGGAAGGACTATGAACTTGCTAAACACCACTGTCTTTCCTTGCCCCATTTTTTTCACACCCCGTTTGAATGCTGAACCTTGCATTAAACGTTTAAATATAATTACGGGGGTAGTTCAGGGTGGGTGCCCCACAGCATCGCGAACAGAATGGTCGTTCCGTTCGAAATGTGTGGCGGGGTTTGTTCAAGCGTTACACAATTCGCGTTCACATGACCCAACCCTTTGGTCGGATTTTTGGCTTAGTCGATACAATGTTACACGCCCTAAATCCATCTCAGTGCATGGAAGCTCCAACAATCTGACAACTGGAACTTCCAGTCTGGAACTAGGGCAGGCGTCGGGTCGGCTACTCTCCACTGGAAAGTGTCAGCACTATGATGCTTCAAAATTGAAGGGCTACTTAGAAAAGGAGACAGGAACTGGTTAGGGTGTTCTGCCTTTAACCACTCAGCCTCTCCGTTCTACACTCGAACCTTTTCGCTGGAAATTGGTTAGCCCGCTCGAACGGGGCCCAGCACTGTCGCTCAACAGGTCTCACGACAGCATTGTGAATTGTTGCGGTGCATCTCATCTACGTACCCAGTTCACCTGAAAAACCAGGCGAAAACCTTAGACATGTCGCCGAGACTTTTTGTCGGATCGCGTGAGTTCGCAACCTGCGGCAATTCAGCCATCACTTGGCTGCGCAGGTTACACCCCCAGACTGGAAATATGTCTTGTAACTTCGTGAATTACTGCTTCGCGTATCCAGCTCGAGCTGGGACGTTCTGAGCTCGACCTGGGACGCCCCGTTGGCGTGCCGAACCAGTGGAGCTGGGAATTTCAGAACTGAAACGTGTCGGAATGTGGTGTGAAATGCCGTACAATGATGTCGACATTTCAAAACCGTAGGGGTAGATTTTCTTTGGGAAAGTACATCGCAGCTCCACAGTTTCAAAAATATCTCAATTTTGATCCCGAGTTTACCCAAAAAGTCCAGCTTTGCGGAATTCTGCTCACGCGAGGCCCAAAGTATGTTCAAAACTGGTCCTGCGGGGCAGTGTCCATTTCGTGCAAGGTCTTTTTATACGGGGCAAACCAAACATAATACCCCTGGGGAAACGGGACACAATTTGGGTAATATATTGCACTGCCTGCGTAAGCAGGCAGTGCAATCGAGTCAGCAAGCTGACCGCGGGCAAGAAAAAAAACTAAAACCCTCTCGGATGGGATGCCATCCGAGGGAGCCTCAACCCTAAAATTTTAGGGTTGATGCTCCCGAATGGCATGCCGTAAGCCAAGGGGTTTAATTTTTGCCCGCGGGATACATTTCGGGAGGGATCAACCCTAAACACCGGGCGGGTTCCCGTGTTTAGGGTTGATCCCTCCCGAACAAGTGTCCTGGTTTCCCCAGGGGTATTAATGTTTTTGTGCCCCGTAAAAAATTGTTGGTGTGAAATAGACACGTGTCAATATTTGAGCCCTACAGGACCAGTTTTGAACATAATTTGGGCCTCGCGTGAGCCAAATCCCAGAAAGTGGGACCTTTCGAGTAAACCTGGGGGTAAATATGAGAGAAATCTGAAAGTAAGGATCTAGGATATAGTTTCCCATTTTCTTTGTCAAAATTCATTCAACACGGAGGTGGGGCAAATGTGGGAAGTCAGAAACACCTCAATGAAATGCGCTATTTCTTGGTTTTAACTTTAGTTTTAGTCTGGAAATTTTAAAACTGTTTGGACACCAGATGATTTTGCGGGCACTCAGAAATACAATTTCGCCCAACCCTGACAACTTCCTCTAGCAAACAATAACCTAGGCAACTCCACCTTCAAATCAAACCCGTCCCTCACTGGCAGATCTGCTCTAGGTAAGGGTACATTCCTATGGCGGGTCTGACATCAGGTCATCCGCCCTTAGTCTCTGATTTGTCTCTTCTCAATGTTGATTTGCCCCTATTTTGAACCACTTCGGGTCTTCCGAGCTTCTAAGGACGGATGACCTGATGTCAGACACGAGCTAGGAATGTACCCTAACTACTAGCCGAGGACTTCCAGTGGCCATTACAGTCGCTATCATGGAACTGTCATGCATGCGTCATGCAAACATGCGAATTCTTAGTCAGTTCCCAGAAAATGACGTTCCCTCCTTTGTACATCCAAAGCGGTGGAACCGGGACCTATTTGGCCGGAGATTTCTTAGAGGTTCAAGGCAGAGAGCTTATTTCTTGTTTCCAGAGCTGTGGAACGCTGTCAAGAAGAGTCTAGCAGAGAATTTATGCTCATACCGCGGACGTCATATCCCGCGGACGGTGCACAGGTGGAAGGGGCAATTGAAGGTGAAAAGTGGGAAGAAAGATCGAAGTGGAGAGGAGATTACGTCAGCAGCCTTGTCGTGTTGGAAAGCTAGGAAAAAGGAGGCAGATGAGGATGCCGCAAGGGACAAGAGATGATAAAGATTCAAGTAGTTCTATGTGCAGCAAAAGATCTCATCGCACCAACATGAGGCCAGGTATGTGCCACATGCGTATGAAGCATGAGCAAAGAATTAGGCACATCACCAAAAAGGCGATGTCACAGAACTGACCCCAATTTACTCGGTCCCGTTAATACTGTCAAACATTATATGTGTTGTGCTTGTTTAGGCTGCAGTGGGTTAGCCTATAGGGGGTACACAATTCTAGGGTTAGGTACTTGTACTCATTTCACTGCTAGTTCATTCATTCCTCGTTCAGTTCTTCTGACATGGTTTCAGAGCAGGTCCTTCGCTAGGACCTAAGTTTTTTTTCGGGCCCACCTCTACTAACTGCTTCCTAGCGCCTTAGTGCGCCCTACTGTCGGAGTGCTGCGTTAGCGCCTCCCCCTCAGCGCCCTAGTGCGCCCTCGTGTACGGCCCCTTAAGGCCCCGTCGACCCCGCGCGCCGCCCCTTAACGACTCTCGCGCTGCCCCTCAGTGGCCCCGTCGAACCCGCGCGCGCCCCGATTCCGGCCCGCTTGGCCCCGTCGACCCCGCGCGCGACCCCGTAATAGGCCCCGCTGGCCCCGTCGGTCCCGCACGCGCCCCGCTTACGGCCCCGTCGACCCCGCGCGCACCCCGTTTAGCGGCCCCGCGGCCCCGTCGAACCACACCTAGAGGCCCCGCGGCCCCGCGCGCACCCCGTTTAGCGGCCCCGCGGCCCCGTCGAACCCAGCCTAGAGGCCCCGCGGCCCCGTCGCCCGCCACCTCACGGCCCCGCGACCCTGCTGCGCCCCGCTTAGCGGCCCCACGGCCCCGTCGAGCCCCGCTTAGAGGCCCCCGCGGCCCCGTACCGCCCCACTTAGCGACTCCGCGCAGCCGCGCAGCCCGAACCGAGCCGCGCCGCCCTACCTGAACTGAGCCGCGCCGTCAGACCGAGCCGCGCCGCCCGTACCAGCAGCCCCGTCGATACTGCTGCTCCTCCTATTTCTTCTACGGCTACTACTACTGCTCCTACTGCTACTACTGCTGCCACTATGGCTAGTCCTCCCGTGCTTGCTTTCGATGCTGAGGGCCGCCCAGTGAAGTTTGACACCTGGCTAGATGACCTGCACCTCTTCCTACAGCTCACTGCCAAGGAGGATATTTCGCTGTACGATCATGCCCTCGGTCACGCTACTGCCCCTCCTACCACTGCAGACAGCACTCAGCGCTCACAGTGGCAGACTCGTGACGCCCATGCTCGCTTCGCTATTCGCAACTCCCTGCCGCTAGATGAGCGCGAGCACTTTGGCCAGCACAAGACTGCTAAGGACCTGTACACTGCTGTAGTTGCTCGTTACTCCTCACCTGCCTCTGCCGCACTAGGCCGCCTCACCCTCCCCTACCTGTTCCCCGACCTGGCCTCCTTCAGCACAGTCGCTGACCTCATCACCCACCTCAGGACCAGTGAGGCCCGCTTTCGCGCTGCTATGCCTGACGAGTTCCTTGCCAGCAACCCCCCCCCGCTCTGGATCACGCTCTACCACATCGTCACCCGCCTCCCTGACTCTCTGCGCGCAGTCAGGGATCACTTCCTCGCTCGCTCTCCCACTGAGCTCACCATTGCCCTCCTCGAGAAGGAATTGCTTGCAGCTGAGGCGAGCATCGTCGCTGTAGGCACCTCTCGTGGCGACCCCCGCACCCCGTTCTTTGAGGGGTGTTCCCCTTCCCCTCTCCTCCCCTCTGTCGCCTCTGCTGCTGCTGTCGACCTCCTTGGTGCTGAGAAGGTCGGGACCGCGTCTGCTCCGAGCGGGCGCCGCAGGGGCAAAGGGGGCAAGGGTGGAGGTGGCGGCGGGGGAGGCGGGGGTGGAGGCGGTGGGAGTGGAGGTGGGACTTGAGAGGCTAGTGGCGGCAGTGGGGGTGGTGACAGCAGCGGCGGGAGCGGTGGCAGGGGCGGAGGCGGCAGCGGAGGCGGAGGTGGTCGTGGCGGCGGCAGGGGTGGAGGTGGCCGGGGCGG